TTCCCCAATTTTTCCCAAAATATTCCCGAATTTTTGCCCGATTTTTTCCCAATTTTTACCCAATTTCCCCCCAAATTTCCCCCAAATATTCCCCAATTTTTTCCCGATCTTTTTCCCGATTTCCCCCCAAATTTCCCCCAATTTCGGGGGTCCCACCTCGGCCCCGAAGAATCCTTTGGGGCGCCCCCCCTTGCCCAGGGGGGGTCCCAGGGGCGCCCCCGGCCCCTCCCCCGCGCTGATGCTCTGCTGCGCCGCCGCCAAAATCTCGTCCAGTTTATCTGGGGAGGGGGAGGGGAGCAATTTGGGGAGGGGTCTCCACCCGGGACCCCCAAAATCCCCCTCAGGACCCCCTGAAAAACCCCCAGGACCCCCAAAATCCCCCCCAAATCCCACCAGGACCCCCCAAAATCCCCCCAAATTCCTCTCAAACCCCTCCTGGACCCCCCCAAAATCCCCCCAAATTCCTCTCAAACCCCTCCTGGACCCCCCCAAAATCCCCCCAAATTCCTCTCAAACCCCTCCTGGACCCCCCCAAAATCCCCCCAAATTCCTCTCAAACCCCTCCTGGACCCCCCCAAAATCCCCCCAAATTCCTCTCAAACCCCTCCTGGACCCCCCCAAAATCCCCCCAAATTCCTCTCAAACCCCTCCTGGACCCCCCCAAAATCCCCCCAAATTCCTCTCAAACCCCTCCTGGACCCCCCCAAAATCCCCCCAAATTCCTCTCAAACCCCTCCTGGACCCCCCCAAAATCCCCCCAAATTCCTCTCAAACCCCTCCTGGACCCCCCCAAAATCCCCCCAAATTCCTCTCAAACCCCTCCTGGACCCCCCCAAAATCCCCCCAAATTCCTCTCAAACCCCTCCTGGACCCCCCCAAAATCCCCCCAAATTCCTCTCAAACCCCTCCTGGACCCCCCCAAAATCCCCCCAAATTCCTCTCAAACCCCTCCTGGACCCCCCCAAAATCCCCCCAAATTCCTCTCAAACCCCTCCTGGACCCCCCCAAAATCCCCCCAAATTCCTCTCAAACCCCTCCTGGACCCCCCCAAAATCCCCCCAAATTCCTCTCAAACCCCTCCTGGACCCCCCCAAAATCCCCCCAAATTCCTCTCAAACCCCTCCTGGACCCCCCCAAAATCCCCCCAAATTCCTCTCAAACCCCTCCTGGACCCCCCCAAAATCCCCCCAAATTCCTCTCAAACCCCTCCTGGACCCCCCCAAAATCCCCCCAAATTCCTCTCAAACCCCTCCTGGACCCCCCCAAAATCCCCCCAAATTCCTCTCAAACCCCTCCTGGACCCCCCCAAAATCCCCCCAAATTCCTCTCAAACCCCTCCTGGACCCCCCCAAAATCCCCCCAAATTCCTCTCAAACCCCTCCTGGACCCCCCCAAAATCCCCCCAAATTCCTCTCAAACCCCTCCTGGACCCCCCCAAAATCCCCCCAAATTCCTCTCAAACCCCTCCTGGACCCCCCCAAAATCCCCCCAAATTCCTCTCAAACCCCTCCTGGACCCCCCCAAAATCCCCCCAGGACCCCCCAAAATCCCCTTCAAATCCCACCAGGACGCCCCCAATTCCCTGAAAAGCCCCCCAAACACCCCCCCAAAATCCCCCCAAAAATCCCCCAGGACCCCCCAAAACCACCCAGGACCCCCCAAAATCCCCGCAGGACCCCCCAGAATCCCCCCCGAGACCCCTCCCCACTCACTGAGGGCCATCTGATAAACCGTCCTCTTCTTCTCGGTGGTC